CTGAAGAGGGTCACTGATGTCACCTGCTTGCTGTCCCCAGCTCCCTTCAGCAGGTGCCTCTCTGCCTCTTTGTTAACTGAAACGATATATGCAAAGGGCTTAGAGCAGTGTCAGTCACTCAGTAGGTGACATCCAAGTGCTACGGAGCATTATTACTGCCATCGCCACCCCCAGGGCCCCGCAGAGTGTGACAGGTGCCAGTAAAGGAGCGAGCCTCACAGGACACACTCTTTTCCACCTCTGGATCTTCACAAATGGAAACAAAATGGGAAGCTCTTAATATTAAAAAATTGTAAGGTTTGGCTCAGCACTCTGCATATATGACTCTCGTACATATTTGTATTTTGTGAGGTACTAACTTGATTTTAAAGAAAAATCTGCTTGGTTGCTATGGAAGCAACTCACCTATTTTGTTTCCTTGTACCCTTTGAGCTTTCTCAGTGTTACAAGGCATTCTTTTATGAGTACTATTTTAATGATACTATCAGGTTAATTTGAAATTAATATCAAATATGCTAAGAACAGGAAAGCTTTCTGCTGACCCCTAATTTCTTAAGTATTACCCCACATAATCCAGCTCTTCCCTTTACCGTATATGTTTATTCAGGTTTCCCCAGTGCCTAACAAAGGAAAGACACCTCAACATTTTAAGGCTGGTATGCCGTTTTTAACAATGTGTTGTCTTTGTCACTTCATAGACTGAATTTCCCATACCCAAGTCCTACTTAAAGAAAAGAGGCAATTTAATCCCAATTTCAGAAAATTAATACTCAAGCATAAAAAAACAACAACAGAAAAACAAAACAAAACCCAACACTAATCCAGCTTGGTTCTGCTTATCCCTCAGATCTTGGCATCAATGCTACCACCTCAGAGCTTCCTCTGGGCCCCCATTCTTATTCTCAACTGGCTTTCTGCTTCCGCCTTTGAAACCCCCACCTGCTCCCATTCCCTCCTCCGTTTTTTTTGTTTGTTTGTTTGTTTTAAACTCTTTACTTAGAAAACTAACTTTTTATTTTGAAACCATTTTAGATTTGCCAAAAAATTGTAGTGACAATACAGAGTTCCTGTGACACAAACAGCTCACGTCACCATGATTTATTTATCAAATCTAAGACATGAACATTGGGGCGGCACAGACTTGTTTGGGTTTCACCAGTTTTTCCATTAATGTCCTTTTTCTGTTCCAGAATCCCATCCAAGACACCACATTACATTTAGTTTCCATGTCTCCTTAGCCTCCCCTGTCCTGTGACAGCTTCTCAGGTGTCTTCACTCAGCTGCTGTAGCAAAATACCGCAGACTAGCTGGCTTATAAACAGCAGAAATTTGTTTTCTCACAGTTCTGGAGACTGGAGGTCCAACCATTGGCTGGGTGAGGGCCCTCTTCTGGGTCACAGGCTTCTGGTTGTGTCCTCACATGGCAGGAAGGGGGGGCTGTCTTTTATAAGGGCACTAATTCCATTTGTGAAGGCTTTTACTGTTTATAGAGGCAGGTCAGTAAGTCCATAGCATTGGGCATCAACTGACGTGCGATGTACTGTACTTTTCCCTTTTATTCTTGGTGGTTTTTCATTTTATTGCCTCTCCGTACTAGGATGTCTTTTGGCAGGGCAAGTATTTTTGTTGTTTTCTTCATTTTTCTCCAGCACCTGGAACAGTGCCAGTTACTCTGTGGACATTCAATAACCATCTGTGGACAGACGATG